ACACGTTACGACGACATCAAATTTTACCGTTTATATTACGTAGCAAATGAAACAATTTGGTGAGAAGTGCAACGTCTTTGTAACGTTTTCTACACTTACAAATATCTTTCACATTTAAAACACGTTACGACAACGTCAAATTTTACCGTTTACATTACGTAGCAAATGTACCAAATTTGGTGAGAATACAACGTCTTTGTAACGTTTTTTACACTTACAAATATCTTTCACATTTAGAACACGTTACGACAACATCAAATTTTACCGTTTAAATTACGTAGCAAATGAAACAATTTGGTGAGAAGTGCAACGTCTTTGTAACGTTTTCTACACTTACAAATATCTTTCACGTTTAAAACACGTTACGACAACGTCAAATTTTGCCGTTTACATCACGTAGCAAATGTACCAAATTTGGTGAGAACACAACGTCTTTGTAACGTTTTCTACACTTACAAATATCTTTCACATTTAAAACACGTTACGACAACGTCAAATTTTACCGTTTATATTACGTAGCAAATGAAACAATTTGGTGAGAACTGCAACGTCTTTGTAATGTTTCCTGCACTTACAAATATTTTACACATTTAAAAAACGTTACGACAACGTTAAATTTTGCCGTTTATATTACGTTGCAAATGAACCAAACTGGTAAAAATTCAACGTCATTGTTACGTTTTTCACACCAGCACAAATTTCGAACTTTACTAACACATTACTACAACGTCATTTTTTAACCATCCACCGACGTTTTGCTGAATGTCACAATTTTACGTTGCTTTGACGTTTATATAACGGAAATATACAACGTCTCCAGTGAACTTATATACCACATATGAGTGACGTTACATGGACGTCACTGTTTGCTGGGATATTTGTTTTTGTTTACATTTTTGTTTTTAGTGCAATTGTTTTTTGTTCCTTTCTATGAATTCTCGAGAATGAAATAAAAATATATTTTCGAACTTTGTTGGAACTAAATAGCATAGTACCCCGGACAGGTTGTATGATTCAGTCGTTTTTTTACTCTTTATTTGCAATAGAACAACCATTCTAATTGAAATTTTCATATTTTATTCTGGAGACAATTTCTAACATGGGAAAAAAATATTTTAACAAAATTCCTAATTTTATGATTTTGATAGGCACTCCACTGTCAATAAAATACAGGTTTTGCTTGAACAATTAAACTTTTAACGTCATTTCAAAGATTGTCTAGCCATTGAATTTTTGACAGCCTAAAGTCTTTCCAGATGTATTTGATGCCATATTAATTATGGCTGATTATCGTTATTCATTTTCAGGCCTTATATTATTACAGTGCATTAGGCCAATGAAAAACTTGTCACTCTGGGTCACGTTTTCTCTAAAAACGCACCTTTTTCTCCACTGGATTTTTCCGCCATCGTCACTCAGCATGCAAGCCTATGGCACGTAAATTGTATCATGCTTTTAAAATGTCAGGTCTCCCTGACAATTTCATGATAAAATTTGACACAGCTGTATTAACATCTCTGAAGGATCTAATGCCAAGAATACTTCAAATACTTCATTTTGGACAGTACTGAACAGTGATCGGGTTGAACTCATGTCCGTGGACAAGAAGATTGACCTCCTCTATCTGGGCTCAATCTAGGGAACGCTTCACAAAACGAGACCCAGGGCAACATTAATATTGAATATGACTCAAGTGAATAACAATAATCAGCCATAATTATTAATATGGCAACAGATATATCTGGAAAGACTTTAGGCAGCCGGAAATTTAATAGCCAGACAATATTTGATATGACGTTAAAAGTTCAATTGTTCAAGCAAAAACCTGTATTTTATTGACAGTGTAGTGTTAGCCAGGCAAAATCATAAAATTGGGAATTTTGATAAAATATTTATTTTCCATGTTGGAAATTGTCTCTAGAATAAATCTTGAAAATTTAAATAAGAATGGTTGTTCTATTGCAAATATAAAGTAAAAAACAACTGCATCATACAACCTGTCCGGGGTACTATACAACATTTTCTTAGACCTCTCAATATTATAGTTATACAAAGGGTTGTTTGGTTGATTTAACAAAAAGTATTCAAAAAATTAAAACAAGAAACCCCAAAATAGATAAAAATTAAGATAACCTTTCATTTCATTAACAAGATACTTTTTAAAATCAACCAAACTTTCCTTTGTACAATTACAATATTGAGAGACCTAAACACGTTGTGTTTATGTCATTTTGTCCCAATAGGTGTTTCATTCATTCCGAACATATGATACCAAGAACAAAAGAAGTGTCTGGTGTGTTTTCTAAAACAATATAGTTCTTTACATTACGCAAACAACTGCTACCAATGGCCATCTCACTGGCGGATCCAGAAGCTAACAAGGGGAGTCAGGAAAAACATTTTGGGCCCCTTAAACCACAAATTGGGCCCAAATTGTCCAAAAAGGCATTGTATTGTTTGATGGAATTTCTACAAAATTATAACCTCTTGTTCACAGGCTGGTATCGAAAAATGTGTCCGCTGTGACGGAGCGTGCTATTTTGCATAGAAACACTAAGAAACCCACACAATTTATTTTTTTACTCATATGTTTCGCTACACCAAAAAAAAATTTCTTACTCCATGCAATGAGTATATCATTTGCGGGTAATTTTAACTTTTGTTTGAAGTCCAACAACGCTAAGAGTAAAAGCTATTGAAAACGGCGCCAGGGTATCATACTCCAAAATGTACCATTTGTTTTATTTCTTTTTAATGGTACAATATAGTGACACGATAATATTTACATATGTTTTCAGCATAACTCTGAAGGTATAAATGATATCTTGATGTATTGGGTATTTTTGATATTTTTTATAAAAAATAATGTTTACATTTTTTGTCAGCTGTGACGGAGCAGTTTTAACTGTGAACTACGTTAAGAATTTAAGATTCAAATTATATCTTTTAAAAGTACCCTTAAGCCAGGTATACACCAATGGGGTAAAATCCCACTTGCCCCATCGAGTCCCATCTTGCCCCATCGAATCCCAATTTGCCCCATCGAATCCCACGAAGTCCCATGGGACCTTGATGACTTTGCCCCATCGTGCCCCATGGAGTCCCATCAAGTCCCATGGAGTCCCATCAGATCTCACCGTGCCCCATTGGTGTATGTCGGGCTTCACACAACACGTCATATGATCGAAAATCCCACGATGCCCCATGGAAAGAATGAACATGTTCATTCTCGATGGGACTCCATGGGACTCCTTGGGATTTTGCCCCATCTTGCCCCATCGAGTCCCACCGAGTCCCATGTGGGACTTCATGGGACCTCATGGGACCTCGTGGGACTCGATGGGGCAAGATGGGGCAAAATCCCACGAAGTCCCATGAAGTCCCACGGACTTCATGGGGCAAAATCCCAAAAGGTCCCACGAGGTCCCACGCAATGTTAAGTCTATGGAGGTCCCAACTTGCCCCATTGGTGTATACCGGGCTTTAGAAGAGAGAACGTCACAAATCACTTTCCTAAATAATGACAAGCAGCCTCTTGGAGATATGGGGTAATGTAAATCTGAGATATAAAAACGACCACTCTTAGTATTTTTCGGTGGTTTGTACTGAAATCAACATGAATCAACATGATGTAAACTCAACATAATATTTCTAATACGTTTTCGCCTAGACGTCTTGAAATGTCACGTGTAGTGTAAATAGGGCTAATATGAATTTACTTATTCGAAATAGCGCACAGACATGCATGCCGACAGATGTATAACCTTTTACCACATAATATTATATTACTGTATATAAGATGATCCCAATACAGATTTAATTTGCAATTATTTGAAATTCATGAAATTCATCGTTTTGCATAAAAAAATATAATATATAAAAAAAGTCTTTGTAAACGTGCTGCACTGTAAAACCTGTATCAATGAATATCTTTCTCTAGTGAACACCTCTTCTTATCAAATATTCCTCTGACTTCTGTATGAAATTGCCTCTATGGAGTGAACATCTATACCAACTGGGAACACATTTTTGGGCTCCATATGTGTTCACTGTACACATATTTTACTGTAGTTGCATCAGATAGCCATAACTCTTAGTCAAATAAAGAACGATCTTAAAATCAAATTTTGCATTTTCGTATTTCAAGATACATTCAACTTACCTTTTGAAACGACTAAAGAGGGTAGAACAATCCACAGTCCATACCATTATATGTATTTAGCTTCATCTTCAGCAAATCATTTTACTTGAAATAATTAAGTTACCGTAAAAAATGACCATGTCAGGCGGATGGATCCACAGAGGGCACTATGAAAGGCAAATACCCTTTACTGAAATGGAAGTTGACTATCATTTTCATGAGTTACCATGCATAAGTTGGATTGCAGTACAAACTGAGAAAAGAAGCTTAAAGAGTGGTCGTATATACATTTCAGAATTTGAATTGTGTACTTTTATTACGTTTCATTTTTCAGAATACTTTACGAAAGAGATTTGACACGCTCGCTCCTCTAAAGTTTAGTTGTAAAGAAATATATTATGAATCTAAATTCTTAACGCATTTCAGATTTGAAACTGCTCCGTCACAGCGGACAAAAAAATTAATTATTATTTTTTATCCAAAAAATTAAAAATACCCAATACATAAAGATCTCATTAATACCTTCAGAGTTATGCTAAAAACATATGTAAATATTATCGTGTCGCTATATTGTACCATTAAAAAGAAATGGTACATTTTGGAGTATGATACTCCGACGCCGTTTTCAATAGCTTTTACTCATAACGTTGTTAGACTTCAAACATAATTTAAAGTTACCCGCAAATGATATATCCATTGCATGGAGTCAGTAATTTTCTTTGATATAGCAAAACATATGAGTAAAAAAATAAATTGTGTGGATTTCCTAGTGATTCTATGCAAAATAGCACGCTCCGTCACAGCAGACAAATTTTTCGATACAAGCTTGCAGGAAAAAGAAACTTACTGACTCCATGCAATGGAGAATTATGTCTGCCCGAGGAAGACGTGGAAAGGGGAAAAAACAAAGCCAGTTAATGAGGAGATGAAAGAAACCAAAAATAAACAGCTTGATGAGAATAACACCCAATCATCTGAAGATGAAGAGAAATCCACTCCTAAATCCTCTCCGAAGATACCTGTACCATCCTCTCCTAAATCCTCTCCGAAGATACCTGTACCCAGAAAGGTATACAAACTTAACGACATTGGAATTGAGGAGGATTTACTAGAGTGGATACAAACAGAAGAGAACGATTTCCTATGGAACACAAGAAGAACAGATTACAGATTACCAGACAAAAAAAGAGCACGCTTTCAGCAGAAAGAGAAAGCCTTGAATTTAGAGGGTGAGTAGTCTTTAATAATACAGACGAACTTAAATGAACACATTGTGTGTGCGTGTGATTTTTTACATTAAATTGTTTATAAATAGGGTTTATTGTATTGCTCTTGGAGGACATATTCATAGATTAGGTGTAGAACGTGTACGTTTACGTATCAAATCATTGTTCCTTATGGACCATCTTCATCCAACTTAGTGGTCTTTGATTGATTGATTGATTGATTTATTGAAGGTCTGAGAAAAAGTTGTATTAAGCTACCACTTTTAACCAAGTAGCGAGTTGGACAACAAATCCCTGGGGCTATAATAGTGCACGTTTACGGTCATGTTCCCTCAAAAATGTGTAAATGTTTTTATTAATTCTGATCAATGACGAAGTTAGTAAACTAAAAATAAAACTTAATTGTCTATAGTAGTTTCCTCATCCTGTTTGCAGAGACCTAACTCAATAGAATTGCGTCTTAAGTCATTATTCCATAATTATAGCTATTCCTTGCAAAACTTTAAGATGGACTGTTACGTTAACCAGAACATTAGTAATTTAAGTAGTTAGCTTAAAACAGCTAACAGTTTGAAATTTATTTTTACTTTTATCACTTTGTTAAGTTTATTATTTGTTGCTCTACGATTATTGTTCTAAATATATTAATGTATTAATGTATGCTTATTACAAATTTATATTTGCCTCGTCTTTTTCAGAGGGATTTCTATCGAAATGGTTCGAGGGCCTTCGAGACCAGTATACCAAACTACACAAGCGAAAATCAGGAGACGGATGTCCAATGTTCACTGAACGACAGGAATGGGTCCTGCGCAACCTTAAGTTTTTTTAATAAACTTGTCAGTCATAGATCACAGCCTGTCAAGAGCGTACTAAGTAATCTTCAGTGTTAATAATAATGACACAAAGCCTATATTTGGAACGTAGTTTTGTTCATTTTTATTAACAAATCTGTATTTTTACTTTTGTTTCTTTTGTCTCTGTAGTTCAAGCAGGTAGTCGCTGAGAACACAGGAGACTTGGAGGCAATCGAGAAAGCCGCAGCTGATCAGGCCATAGACGTCGATGCCATTGACGACGAGCAAGCCAAGAGGGGCAAGAAGGCCAAGAACGACAAACGGCTGTCACAGGACGCAGACGATGCTGAGCTGGCCAAACTTAGGAAGAGACAGAAGGACTCAGACGACATGATCGGCACGCTGCAGAAAAAGCTCAGTGAGCCCAAGACGGATGTTACTGCCTACGCAATGTATATAAAAGCAACGCTCCAGAGGATGGATAGGTCAAAATTCAAAAATGCGCGCAAGGCCATCAACAGGGCACTAGAGCCTTTCCTTGATTCGTCGGATGAGGACTCCAACGAGGAGGCACAGCCTGGTTTGCCTTCAATGGCACCATCATTGCGTCCCATGCGGCACCCTTCGTCATCGGGAAGCGCGAGCACTGATGTCTCTTCTGGTACCTGGTCGTAAGTACTGTAAACGTGAAACCTCCAATTTGGAGAATACAAACTACTGTAATCTTTTAAAAGTCCCATATAAAGTTGTAACCAGTTTGGGTTAATTTATACTCTAAATCAATGTTATGAAAATATCGTTTTTAAAACTTAGTTAATTTAAAAGGAGCTTGATTTTGTTCATATGAAAGTTAAGTTGTAACACACATATATTGTGAAGCAATGATACGTATACACCAACTCAAACAATGCATTCCTATCAATTTTCTGTGGAAAAAACAGAAGAAAATAGGTTGAAAAATGTGTTAGGTTAATTGTTTCATTTGATGATATCTAAAAAGCTGAACTTTTGCTTTAAAAATGGCGAGAAATTGAAGCATTTCAAAAATACAAGATGAATAACTTTATTTTGAATAGTCACATTAAATATTTTTCAAATCGTACAAAGTAATATTCGAAAGATATTAATTCAAACTTTGCACGGGGCCTTTAGAATTAATTACCATCATTAGTGTCTTTGTGTCTTTACAGTGGCACTGGTTCAGGAAGTTTTTCGAGCAACTATGGCTATCATACGAAGACGTCGACATCTGCTGGAGATGCTGGAGCATGGCAGCCACCACCACACCAGTGGAAGGCCCCTCCTGCTGATCAGCAACATGAACCATGGTTCAGTCAGAGTCAGGACTTCATGCGGCAGTATCAAGGTTGGCAGCCTCAGCCTGCACAACAGGCTCCGCAGCAAGCCAAAATTATCAGCAGCAGCAGCAAAGGCAGGGAAAGAATGTACCATCCCAAGGATACCAGCAAGTTTATTCTTCAGTGTCACAGAAGCAAAACGCTGCTCCTCATCCACGCCAGGCTATTATCTCTCCACATCCTGATGACGGTATAGTCTCCTCTGAACGCCGTAACTCTGCGTTCCTTACTGATGTTGACATTGAAGACGGAACAGCCCAGCGTAAGGACAAGGCCAAGGATACTAACAACAATCTTTCACCGACCGACAAGTAGGCAAAGTGAGAAGAACTAGATAACATATCATGGCAAAGTGAGAAGAACTAGCAAATTAATTCGTTTTCGATGAATATGATCGGAATTTTTTTTACTTTAAGGGATATTAAACAAATATTTCATTTTATGAAGGGCAATACCTGTTCATCTCTCAATGATTTTTGAAGTATGTATTGCCCGTAGCAGCCTGCAGGGTGTGGGAAATACATGCTGCAAAAACCATTGAAAGTCCAACAGGCATTGCCCGAACATATTTGATCACATGGCACTTAATTAGCCAATCAAATCACACAATTTCTAGCAATGATATAATAATAATTTTTATCTGATGCGTGATGCCATAATAACTAGAACAATTGATTTACTGGTCTATTATGGAGTAGAACATGTAACTAGCAAATTAAACATAATAAAGTAGTAAATGTTATGTATGTTAAAATAGTCACTATGACTGTATTTCATTTTGTAAGAATTGAAACAAAGAATAAGATTGTATGATTTATGGCAATTATTTAACAATCATTTGATTGTAGTCTTCACTTTTGTTTTAAGTCCAATATCACTACGAATAAAAGCTATTTAAAACGATGCAGTGTGTACCACAAATGTGCGTTTTCCTTTTTAACCTTTTTTATGTTACAATATAGTTGACTTGATAATGTTTACATATGTTTTCATCATAAATCTGGACTCGTTAGTTGGACCGAAAATCCTTTGATTTTAGAAAATTAATTATAAACAGGATCTTAAGAGGTTCTGGACAAATCATTTGATTCTGGACTTGTCATATTTTTTTTTCAACGAAATCACATCCAAGGGTTGAATTTTTATTAGCTATTTAGAGAGTGAGTCCTGCCTAGTATTAATTTCAATAAAAAAGTTAAAATAGAACCCTATTTGAGAGTCAATCGAATACTTACATTACATTGATAAATTAAGGCAAATCCTGAAATATTTTTAAAGTGCATTTTTTATGAAATATTATCCAGCAAGTATTTAAATGAAACGGTCTTATTTAAATACAAATCATAACATGATATTTTTCATGAAACATTTTTCAATGAAATTCAATTGAAGGGTCAAGATAAAACGAGCTAATTTAGGTGAAAACCCTTACATGATGATGTGTTTTCATAACTTCTTTCATAAAATTCCATCAAGGGGTGAAGATAAAATGATCGAATTTAAGTGATTTAGGATCACGAGAATATGTTTTCTTTGATATTTTCTATGAAATCCCATCCAATGGTAAAGGTAAAATTTTGATTTTGATTTTGATTTGGTCACGTGTTCGAAAGATCCATATAAGGCCCATAGAACCATATAGGAACGTCATTTTGAATGTCACGTGATAGATCCATTTAAGGCTTTTAGAACCATTTATGGAAAGATGAGGGGAAGCCCCTGACACCTGTTTCACGATTTTTATGCACTTCATTATTGTACCGAAGTTTGCCGATTCGATTCGTCGTATTTCGGAATCCTGGTGACAATTTTATACTCCATTGGAGTATTTTTGACCTACTTCTTATGACGGAAATTCCCGAACCTTGTTCGGATTAATCCGGATTTTCTGACCTACCTTATCTACCGAGATTTCACGAGTTAACATTCGTCTCATTCCGGAATCCTGGTGACAATTTTATACTCCATTGGAGTATTTTTGATCTACTTTTTCTGGATTTTGCCCTACTTATTATATCTTGACAACAAGCAAATCAAAAAGTTCGACATGAACGGGTCTCGATCAACTAACCTAGACTATGGAAGCCAGGCACGCTAACCATTAGGCCAACGAGCTACCGATATGAAAGAACAAAAGTATTATATATTTATACCGAGCGTCAATTCAAAATGATCCTCACTTTTGTCTCCACTTAAATACGACTCGTCAGTTGTATTCAGAATAGTAGAACGCCTATGGCGCTAGTGAATAACCAAGACCCAGGTGAGTGGTTCGTATCCCTCCGTGATATACTATTTTTGTTTTATTAAATACGACAGAAAGGAGCAAGGTGTAGGTTGAAAACAAGACGTTAGTTTGTTTCAAAACAGTTTGGAAACATTAATCTCTGATAATTTAAGGTTTTCCACTCCTGAAGGGCCTCTAGATCTATGAAATTCAATAATCCACTCAGTAAAAATACGATTTCTCTGCAACCTGATGTCCAATCAAGATCATTCAAATATATATGTGTTCCTGACACGTTTGGGCGTCCGGGAATAAAATTGCTTGTGAAAACTATTTACAAAAGTGTTCCAGAGACCCTTATGTATGTATGTATAGCTTTATTGCCCTAATTTAATTAGGAGATACATATTATTTATATGCAATTACATCAAATATAATAAAATTAACATATGGACAGACAACCTATTTACAAGATGTTTGTATATAATATATATATATATGTGTGTGTCTCAGAGTCAGACAGTGTTATCTATTTTCACAGCTCTGAGATTATAGTTGATTTTGACTAATTCTGCAACATGTTTCAACTTCAACATAGTATGTTGATCATTTGTATCATTAATGCCAAGGATTGTGTCACAATCAAATCTCACTTTCAGTTCCGTGCAGAATTTGGCCAGTTTCTCTCTGGCTGGAATGTAGCATTCAGCTTTACAGTAGAATAAGAAATGTTCTACTGTTTCTGTCTCATATGAGTCACACATTGTACATAATTTGGATTTGTTATCTCCTCCACGATATTTACTATTGAGCATATGTTCCCCAGTTAACAGTTTGAACATTATAATACAAGAAGCCATGGCGCTTGGAAATTGCTGTGCCACACACCACCAAATATTAGGTTTCAGTGTATTAAAGTTCAATTTACGAAAGTGATTTAAACCACTGTACATAAGGCTTTTTGTATATGTTCTCTGGAGTTGAACATCTGAGACTTTTGACAGAACCATCCGTTTCCATGCATATTTACTAATATCAGAGTTGCCATATAAAATGTCATGCACATCGACCCTTAGGCCATATGTCTCTACACGTTGAAGCATTGCTTTTATGGGTGAAAATATGTTACATTGATTCTCTACATTCCACAGGTAGAATATGCGATAAACACAGATCGCTTTATAAGCATTTGTAAACGGTAGCTTCAGTAAACTCCAAAGAAATGTCAGGCTTAAAAAATCAATGTACAGATCGACATCTAGCCATCCTAATGTTGTGGAGGACAGAGGATTACTAGCATTTTTTGATATATATTGTATACGTTTTCCAATATCTTTTTGAGTATTTTCTAATTTAACTATATCACCATCCTGATAATTGATAATTGGTGCTGCGTACAGCATACTCGGAATAGAGAATGTCTTATATAGGTTTGAGGCTGATATTGGAGTAAGCCCCCCACAGCGATTACCTATTGCTAGTTGGCAGTAATACTGCCTCAAACCTTTATTGCAACGTTCATCTACATAATTAGTGATACATTTATTTGTAGAAAGAGGTATTCCCAGATGAGTTAGGGACTCTGATCTTGATATTTGTACACCTCCAATTTTTAATCGTTGTGCAGCACCCAGCTCTATTTTTTCATTAAATACGTGACCAAGTATGAACATTTTTTAGGATGAATGCTATATCGCCATTTGTAACTATGTCTAGTGAAGGTGTTAAGCAGGGTTTGCATACTTTCAAAAGAATTCGAGATTATACATGTATCATCTGCATAGCTTGGACATACACAATTAATATGGCCTATAGAAGCACCAATATTAAGGTTAGACATTTCAACAATGAGATCTGCCATATATAACTGATAGAAAATCATGGAGAGCACCCCACCTTGATGGACCCCCTGCAGAATAGGGAACAGGTCTGAACACGTACCAGCTACCATTACTGAGCACATATATTTCTTGTACATCTGATACAGTACTCTCCAGATCTTTCCAACTACCCCACAATTATATAGTTTAATTAGCAGCCCGTCGATCCACACGGAATCGAAGGCTTTTCTAATGTCCGCTACTGTAACCACAACCATTTTGTTGTGTTCAACACCATGAGCAATAGTCTCTTGTACTAATAATGAGGTGTGAACAGATGAGCACTTATCAGTTGATGCTCCTTGCAGGAGAGGAATTGACCTTAAAATCGGTGTTTTTACATATTTAAGAACAATGTTGTCAAACAGCTTTCTAAACATAGTCATTAGCGTTATACCCCGTGAGTTATCTTTTACCAAGGGGTCTTTCCCAGCTTTAACAATTGAAATCATGATGCCTATACTAAAATTCTTTGGAATATACTCTGTTTTGATAATAGAATCATACAATAGAGCAATGCCCTGATATAAGATATAACCACCATATTTTAAGTGCTCAGCTGTTATTGAATCATAACCACTGGCTCGCTTACAATGCAGTGCCTTAACTGCACCAATTACGTCATCTGTGGTAATACTCAATTGTTCATCCTCAATATGCATATTAGATATAAGATATTTTATTCTATTTTCCACCTCTAGTTTAAAGGGATTGTCAAAATTTGGAGATTCATTCGGGGTTGCAAGATTTTTAAAGTGATCTTTCCATTGTTCAAGAATACCCACTGGGTCCGTAATTAACTCACCATCATTTGATAGCACTGGACTAGTAGGGGATTTTCTCGATTTCCGTTGCTTATTAACCAAATACCAATAAAAGCGCTGGTCAGCTTGCTCAGATTTATATAGCTTTTCCATTTCCTGCCTTTCATATTCAATTTGAGCTACATGGAAGGCTTTGTTAAAGACCCTTTTAGCATCTAAGTATTGCCTTCTCACAGTATTTGTATTATTGCGCGGCCTTCCATGGGAAACCCATGTGTGCCATTTGGCTTTTTTATCTTTAGCTAAAAGTGTTAAATTCACATTCCAAAAAGGCTTAACATGCCGTTTAAATTTACGTTTTGGAATATGGTATTCCGAGCAGCTGATCAGTGTTTCTGCCAAAGTATCAGTGAAGTGTTCAATTTCCTTCTCACCCAAAGGTCTTGTAGACAGAATTTCTTGAAGTTTTAATAAAATATCATTAGAACAGTGTTCAACT